ATACCCACTTCCGTTTCTCTTGGATCCGATGTGATCGCATGGGACTCAAATCGATTGCAGTATGTGTCGGAAGCTTGCCAAATGTTGCGTCTACTTGGTCAAGGCCGTTTCGCTCAGGTCTGGTTGGCGAAACTAGAACCCTCGACTGGAACAGATTCCGGTTTGGATATATCACATCGGTCACCCTATTCAGATCCGTTGAGTGATAGTTTATTACTACCCGACGCTTCTCAGCCGAATGACTCAAATGGTCGCTCGTCTCCTCCCAACTCTACAGACACTCAATCCCGTTTGGTTGCCGTGAAAATTTTCCCTGCCGCTGAACAACGAACCTGGGCAAACGAAGCCGCGGTGTTTAGAATTCTTCGGTCCACTATCACCCGATCTGCTTCTGAAATTGATACCTGTTACCACTTGATTCGCCTGTCTGGTGCAGGAAAAGTACACAACGAATATCGTCTTGTGTTGGAATATGCTCCACGAGGTAGTTTGCGGGACTTGTTAGATCGAGGGGAATGGTACCCGTTACAGTTAGTGCTAAATTTGGCGCGTGACATGGTTCGCGGTCTGTGCTACTTGCATGCCGATTATCCGACAGTAGATCGACCTTCGATTGCACATCGGGATGTGAAACCGGAGAACGTACTGATTCGGTCAGATGGATCGGCTTGTCTATCAGACTTCGGCCAGTCTGTGGTTCTCGATACCCGTTTAAGTGACGAAGTGGTCCGATCTGATCGAACCGGTCCGGCCGCCGCCGCCACAACGACCACCATGTTGTCCAACAATCTGGTCAGTTGTGGAACAAACTTTGACGCAGTCCCTAAGGCGGGAACGTTACGGTATATGGCCCCGGAAATTCTGGACGGAGCGATTCAGTTCACCGGACGATCAATTCTTTGTACAGATATCTACTCGCTTAGTTTATGCCTGTGGGAATTGCTCAGCGCCGCAGTGCCTCCGACATCGGTCGAACTATTGCAAACCGGTACCAACACTACGGATCCAACGGTACACACGAATACACAAAAACAGGTTGTC